AGGCCAGAAAGGCTAATTTAAATTTAAACAAAAGAATATTAATCCAGCATCCATTTATGAAAGTGGTCTATGAGCTGTGCGCTTAAAAATTTTAAACCAATTTGAAAATTCTAAACCAGTTTAAAAAAAATTAAACCAAAGGTAAAATTTGAACCACAACATATACCTTTGATTGTTTGCATTTATACAAGTCATAGCTTGCGTTTGCTCATTCTTGTGTTCAGCAGTATTATAAAGTTTCCCCTCATTTCAGATTTTCATTTAACATGGTTGATAATGAATTTACCCTTTAACTCCCAGTAGTGATTAACATGAAACTTCTCCCTACAATATCCCAGACATTATTCAGTAAACAAGTAATGAGAATACTTAAACTTATCAGGTAGAAGTTTTTACCATGATCTAACACCAGATTCTCGTAACTAAGTTACAAGAAAATGTGTAGCAGCTACAGGGGAAAATTGAAAGTGATCAGATTTTGGGAGTTACAAGGTTAACACAGTGAAAAGTATAAACAAGCACAAATTATACTTTGTAGAACAGGAGGCAATTACCATGATAAGGTTTTCCTTGATGACATTGCCAATGAATTATTTCTTTTTTATTTTAGGTTTAAAAGATGATGCTAAAAGATTCAGGGTATTTATTGATCAAAATAAAGTTTCTGAGATGTCTTGCTTAGACATCGGTGTCCTCTTTAAAGAAAGAGCATCAAGAAGAGAGATGTCTACGCAGTGTTGGGTTCATAACGATTAGAAATCTTGCGCTATTAAAAGTCTTTTGCTGGGAAAATTGTCTCTTGGAAAGAAGTTTGCACTTTTGAATTGTGCTTTTATAGTATTCATCAAAAAATGTACTATAGAAAGTCTTTTGGCACGAAAAATATTTACAACATGAAAAAGATTTTCTCCCATGAAAAGTCAAGTGTATCTTTTGTTTTAGCACTAAATGCCTTCAAATCTACAGCAATTTCCTTCCTCTCGGCAACCCTCCATACATAAAAACAGAGCAACAGAGAGCCTATGTTTTGAGTGGTTACCAGGCCCCTTCAAAAGCACAATAATTATTTTTTAGTTATTTTCACAACCATTCAAAAACAATTAAAAAAATAGACAGTATAATAGAATCAGGTTCTTTATTTGCTTGTGAGTTCATCTAATAAATACAAATCTGTGCCAACAAGTAAAATTGAATACAATTTGTGATAGCAAAACCTATTACCATTTCACAAACCATTAAATAAGTCTGAATATCAGTGTAAATGCAACTACAACAGAAACTGTTCGGGTCAAAACTTGCCTATTTACAAAATTCATTGGCAAGAATTAGCTGAATCTGATAACTACTAAAATATTTCTTAATTAATATTAACAGCTACGAGTCATGCAGCGCATTCAAAACTGCGCTGCACGCCTCGTAGCCAGGCAAACTAGGACTGCACACATTTGCCCTATCCTTAAGGAGCTACACTGGTTACCTGTGGAGCAGCGAGTTACCTTTAAAGTATTACTGTTAACTTTTAAAGCTCTCAATGGTCTGGCGCCTCTGTATCTAAGTCAGCTTATAGTCCCATATAGCCCTACAAGAAATCTTAGGTCAGCTAGCAAACATTTATTAGAAGTACCGAATGTGCGCCTGAAGAGCTATGGGGACAGGGCCTTCTCGGTCGATGCCCCAAAGCACTAGAATGATATTCCCTTAGACATTACATTAAGTCGATCAGTTGACATCTTTAAATCTAGATTGAAAACTTATCTTTTCAGACTTGCTTTTAATTGATTTTATCTTGGTAAGATTGTTAGTTAGATATTTATTAGATTGTAAAGCGACATAGAGCTTTTGCATATACCGCCATAGAAATAAAGTTATTGTTAAGTCTTTGACAACATTCCAACAAAAAATACATGTCAAAATGATTTACAGCAACAAACTACCTGTTTGGAAGGAGACTGTGGTAAGTTCTGCATTGTGCTTGACTGCTGCACACATGTTTGACACCATAAGTGTAATCATTGTAATCAAACCCCTTGAACAAAGATGTAAAAAATAACAAAACCATCAAAATGCTGAATTTCAATCAACAGTACCTCTTCTAAGTAATTCTAACTGCCACTACTTCCTTGCTCAGAGTCCCTTTCCCTATCTTCACTTTTACTATCACTAAATTAAAAACAAAAAAAAAATCCAAACCAAACTTTAAAAGAAGAAATCTAATGACGATCTACATTCAGTTTACGTTTAGTTTGACCAAAAACTCATTATCCAGCCCTAACCTGGAAGATGAAACTGGGCCAGGCACAACTTTATTTTTGGGTTTTTTTTTTTTGCTTCTTCCCTCATCTGCTACAAAGGAAAGTGATATAAATATAATATATAGATTATATTAGATATAGCTCTTTGGCATACAAAGCTTTGCTTTCATGTCCAAATTGAGCACTCTATCTAGGATGAGTCATTGCCGTTGCAATTATCCAGCCCTAACCTGGAAGATGAAACTGGGCCAGGCACAACTTTATTTTTGAGTTTTGTTTTTTTGCTTCTTCCCTCATCTGCTACAAAGGAAAGTGATATAAATGCATAGCTGAAAAATTCTTTATCATATGCAGAACAGGGGCGGGCACCCTAAACAAAAGGAATGAACTGGCGAGTGCGTGCTGGCACTCAACTAAATATTTGATAAGGCTGCTTAAACCACCAACTTAAAAAGATCGTTAGTCAACTAATGTCTTATCTACCTGACGAGAGAGGACTTTTAACCCTTTCGAAACAGATCTGTAGTACCAAGTTTTAATTTTTATTTTCCTAAATAATCACATATATATATATAACAAGTTAAACGGCCTTGAGCCAACAGTGACGCAGTGCCAGAAGGATCCAAAAGGATTCACAGTCCAAACCTCAATAAATAGTAGAAAAAATATTGTAGTACACGAGGATGGACATTACTTCGAGCTAAGAAAGATATGTCTTTCTTAGCTCAAAGTTGTCCGTCCTCGTGTACTACAATATTTTTCCTATATATGTATATGTATATATATATATTTACGGGTGGATAGGCTACAGATATGTTCCTCAGGTCTGCAGCATATCTGTAAAATATCTGTATGACCTATCTGTAACATATCTGTAACATATGGGAATTTGGCCCAAAATTTCTAACTGCGACAGATATGTGACATATGAAAAACCAACAGTACATAATTACATATCTGTGGAAATATCTGCTACTACAGATATGTTAGCAGTCTGTGGACATATCTTTCTGTGGCTATAGGGGAGACTATCAAGGGTGGCATTGGGTACCAGTGTGGTTCATTAATTAAGAACAAGTGAATAAGACACTGCAATGTTATCTATTTGACATAGTTTATTGATATAAATTAAGTAATTATGTAATACGCAATTTTTTATTTCTCTTCTAATCAACAAGAACATATAAACCTAAAAAATAATTAAAAAATACAGGAATAATCATAAAATTGTGCTAAAGTTCTAGCGGTTTTAAATTTGTTTTTGTTTTTTTTTTATGTTACTCCTCTACAAGCTCCACAGCACTTATCTTTCAAGGTTTTATTCACAAATGTGGCAGCCTGCTTTCTATAATTTTTCTCATCCAGAACAAAACCTAAGAAGCAATGAAAAGACAAATGTTCAACTCAGTTCTCAAATGACTGAAACTGTGAATTACCAACAATTACAGCCCAACAGTTAATTATGTTGGTAACATGGAGTTTATAATCTAAAATACTAACAAAAATTTCAACCAAGGAGAGTACAGTAGTTTGTCCATGCACACTGTACCTATAGATTGCCAGAGATTGAGATCACCACTTAGAATATATAGCCCCCTTTACTAACTTATTATAATCAATCAATCAAAATGATGAAAGACACGGTCCAAAGTGACAGTGTAAGCTTGGTTAGCAAGGGAAGTAGTAATCAATTCTGCAAAAGGCTATCGCTTCATAAAAAAATATCATCATGATGGCTTAATTAGTTATACTGGCAAAGAAGAAAGTAATTCATATTAGTTTGATCAAACACTCTTTAACTTTGAAACATGAAATAGAGGCAAAGAACCATTTAAGGAATTGAATTGTTGAGATAAAAAAGAAAAAATGAGGGGTTATTCAGTTTACATAACACAAAAAGTGAGAATCATCGCTGGGAACCAGCCCTTTCCTATTTGCATCCTCCTAGAACGTGTCACACAAGGAGCCTGCCTCAACATCATCACTGGAGTAAAGTTCACAAGGTGAAAGTCTATAGGGAAAAAAGGTATCAGCAGCTAAGCTTATCCGTTTGAAGTAAGTCTTACTACAAACAATTATTTCATAGTTTCGATATAAGCGAGGTCATTATTCACAACTGCAGTGAACGAAATAAACAAAAAAACTTTAAGTTTCACCAATAATAACAATTATAACAATAACATTTATTATTAAACAACAACAAACATATGAAACATATGTATGAGCTGCGGTTATGAAACATATATATGTACGATCCTTCGCAGTAAAGCACTATTTGAGCAATAGTGAAAATCAGACCTGAAAAAAATTTCAGGCCTGTACGGGATTCGAACCACTGACCTCTGCGATACTAGTGCAGCGCTCTACCAATTGAGCTAACAAGCCAACTGGGAGCAGGCCATCAAATTAATTCGACATAAACCCGTAGATGATAAATCAAACAACAACAAACATATGAAACATATGTATGAACTGCGGTTATGAAACGTATATGTGCACGATCCTTCGCAGTAAAGCACTATTTGAGCAATAGTGAAAATCAGACCTGAAAAAAATTTCAGGCCTGTACGGGATTCGAACCACTGACCTCTGCGATACTAGTGCAGCGCTCTACCAATTGAGCTAACAAGCCAACTGGGAGCAGGCCATCAAATTAATTCGACATAAACCCGTAGATGATAAATCAAACAACAACAAACATATGAAACATATGTATGAACTGCGGTTATGAAACGTATATGTGCACGATCCTTCGCAGTAAAGCACTATTTGAGCAATAGTGAAAATCAGACCTGAAAAAAATTTCAGGCCTGTACGGGATTCGAACCACTGACCTCTGCGATACTAGTGCAGCGCTCTACCAATTGAGCTAACAAGCCAACTGGGAGCAGGCCATCAAATTAATTCGACATAAACCCGTAGATGATAAATCAAACAACAACAAACATATGAAACATATGTGTGAACTGCGGTTATGAGACGTATATGAG